AGTAAAAAACACTTCAAATTACAGTTTAATACTGTAATTTACAAAAAAATCGTTAATGGTGTACTAATCAGGGTTTTTGCATAACCAGAAAAGCCACAAGCAACTTGCAACAACACAGTTTACTTTGGTACGCTTGCTATATATAAAGTACAACAGAAAATGGTCCTAGCAGGTAGTCACAGCCTGAAATAAAAACTGTAAATTATCATGCAGACTCAACTGATTCTTATGCTATTAAAGGAAAAATCGCAAATCCCTTATTGTAAAGGTCAGGATTTAAACTCCAATGAAACATTTATTATTTTTGGAGAGATTCATATCAAGGCTCTGAATTGAAACTTATAAAAAAGTTGGCGGCCAGAGAAGTGCAAAACTCTAGACAGGAAATCTTTTACTTGAGGAAGAATCCATTAGAATAGCTGTAGTGCAATTAAACCATAAGGCAATGCAAAGGCCTAATTAACACCAAGGTGGCCTTTGCAGAAGCGATCAACCAGACCTCATTAACCTTAACCATATAATGACACACATCTAAATACACAATACCCACTGCTTCACTGTTTATATATCATGAAGAGCAAGCTAGAAACTGTTCATGGCAGAAATATGCGAACATAAAAATAAGCTATTGTCAATGCTATTACTCATTGCGATATTGTGTTTTTTCTGCAAGATTTTGTATATGTAAATAAACAAAGAGATTCAAAGAGTTTAACCTGGGGTCTGTTCTTTGTACGTGGATTACTCAATTAGCTGGGATTGGTTATTGATGAATGACACAATCCAAGATCATTTTGTTCTTCAAAACTCATTCAAGAGTTGATCTCAGCAACAGCTCTGGTAGCTCAAACCTGCACAGGAGCAGGCATATTTCATACAAAGTCTGTCTGTTGGTTCAGCCCAAGGGGTTTAAAGAGAACATTTATTAATATGGATTTAGATACAAATGTGTATTATTTTAAGGTAACAGCTTTAGTACATTTTTTGTATGATAACAGACATGCACAATATTCAACTTCTTTTTATGGAATAATAATTTATGCAGTCATGCACATGCTTTTACACCTAATATGATAAGTATGATTTGATGCGTCACAAAAGTTGCAGACACCTTTACCGATAACAAAATGCTTTTTTGATGCAAAATTAATTTAAACAGTCAGCTATTCTTTACAACGATTAAGAAACATTAATAGGCCTACGCTACTATAATAAAGAAAATCTGCTCTAAAAATAAAAATAAATAAATTGCTAAATGCTCTAGACACATGAACGTGCTAAGTCTGCAGCCCACAACAAAGTTGGAAAATTATTGTGTATCTTATTTAACTAATCATTTACTATGAATTTTATGTCATTTTACTCACATAGATAATTGAATATTCATCAGATGATGTCATTACACTGCTCTGCCATCAGTCAATCGTTTCATTGCTGATCATGATTTTGAGAATTGATAAATCTGTCCTTCACAACACACGCAGCAATCTCAGATCAGTTCTTCCAGAAATTTTGATCTGATTCACAACCTTGTTTAAAGAACCAAATTAACCAGACATGAGCTTTATTTTGAAAATAATTATGGATGTAATATGATTAAACAAAGCAACAAATGATTTAATCAGTGCATTATGTTTATGGGGGCAGCACAGTGGCGCAGTGGGTAGCACAATACAGCAAGAAAGTCGCTGGTTCAAGCCCTGGTTGGGTTAGTTGGCATTTCTGTGTGGAGTTTGTATGTTCTCCCCGTGTTAACTTGTTTCTCCGGGTGCTCTGGTTTCCCCCACAAGTCCAAAAACATGCTCTATAGGTGAATTGGGTAAGCTAAATCGTCCGTAGTGTATGTGTGTGAATGAGTGTGTATGGATGTTTCCCATCGTTGGATGGCAGCTGGAAGGGCATCCGTAAAACATGTGCTGGATAAGTTGGTGGTTCATTCCTCTGTGGCAATCCCTGATAATAAAGGGACTAGGCCAAAAAGAAAATGAATCAATCAACTATGTTTAAGCCCAGCAGACACACCATGTCATAAGATAATAAAATTATGTTAGATTTAGGTTGCCAGCATCTAAGGACAATGTTATTTTTATATCCAATAAAGACCTGAAATGACATTGATATTTGGTTGATTTTAGGTTGTGTTGGAAAGTGACCAAAATCTAACGTTGAGCCAACATCTTAAACTAAATCAAATCCTGACATTTATTTGTCAGGTATGGCAACCAAAACTCAAAGTCTGATAGGCGTCATATTGATAACGTCCACACAATATTAAGTTGTAACATCATTAGACGTTAATATTTTTTGTTGTTGTTTTAAGGTTGCGTTGGAAAATAACCAAAATGCATTGTCCGTCCGACTTTGGAAATTGATGTCAGCCTGACGTTGGGTTCTGACATCAACCCAATTTTCATTTCCAAACTAAATGCAATGTCCCATGATGTTGGGGTCCAATGTCAATCAGACATCATGTTGATGTCCTGTACCTGCTCGGTGTATTCTTTATGTCTGTGAGTCTGACAATAATTATTAAACTATTTAAAAAATCTAAAGCAAAATAACACTGCACCGTCGCCACTGTATAAATCAAATATATTTCATCTTTAATAAAACAGACTTGTTTCTTGCATCTAAATGTCTCAAACCGGCTTAGATTGTTTACATGGTAAATGGCCTTAAAACATGCGATAAACTTTCATTCTATAATTGTTACAATTTTGCAATTAATCCAATTTTGCAATTGCAGTGCCTTATCAACTATAATCCTGATGCTGAAAGTATATATTTTGTATAGTGTTCCGATTTTGGAGTGAAAAAATGTCTTTGTGAGACTCATTCAGTAAATGGTTTAAAAACTCAACTGCCCTTTAAGGCAAATTATGTATCCATTCTATATATTTTACCATTGCAATAAGTGACCTACATTTTTATTACAGCACAGCTTTTATTTCTTTCCAGGTTAGTGTTCATTTGTCTGCCATTTGTGGCATGTCTCTTTAACAATAGTTCACAGAGGATTGCATTGTGCTGAAAGCCACTGAGATTGAAGTCTATGATGAACTACACCTCCACTCACTTGCTGAGTTCTCTCCCTCGTTCACCTCATCCAACCCCCTGTAACCTCTGCTCCTCTCTGAGGAAATACAAAAGCTTTCCTTTACCTGATGGGATCACCTCACACAAACCCGGCCCCAGAAATGTCATTAAATGCCAGTCTTTGGTCTTATTTTTTAAACCTGCACTGACTATTTCCAAATGCCCCCTTCCACAAGCACAGCTGAAAAGTCATGTGAACAAAATGTGAGCTTTTCACCAGGATTGTACTTCTGAATCTTAACCCAAAGAGAGTGATGCATTAAATTGTATTTTTGGATATTAACTTCCATCCAACTCCACTAAGGGCCTATTCTCACTGATGATCTCTCTCCTCTGTGTAGGCAGATATAAAAGTCAAAAGTGTTTTTTTTTAAGGTAAGTGCCACTAGGCTCTCTCCAGATGCTGTCCTTTATGTTATTATGATATTACAAACCATCAAAGCCTACTCTATTCGACCATTTAAAACCAATTCATAATTTCTATTCAATTTCAGTGTCAAAATGTTTAAAAGTGACACTAGCCTGTTCTCTCAAACGATAAACTATTCATAGTTTTGTCCATTAAAGTTGACATACAATGGTATTTGATATTCTTTGAAATTACATGAACTGATGAAAGGTGCAGAATAACACTAGGAGCACTGCAAACAGTGGTGTGAATAACAAATTACAAATACTCAAATTAGTTTCATTCATTCATTAATTCATTAATTCATTCATTCATTCATTCATTCATTTTCCTTCAGTTTAGTCCCTTCATTCTTTATACAGAGGTCACCACAGCAGAATGAACTGCTACCTTATCCAGCATATGTTTTACACAGCAGATGCTCTTCCAGCTGCAACCCAGTACTGGGAAACACCCATACACTCTCACATTCATACACATACACTTTGGCCAATTTAGTTTTTTTTAATTCACCTTACAGTGCATGCCATTGGTCTGTGGGGGAAACCGGAAACCCACACGAACACAGGGAGAACATGCAAACTCCACACAGAAATGCCAACTGACTCAGCCAGGACTCAAACCAGCAACCTTTTTGCTGTGAGGCAACAGTGCTAACCACTGAGCCACCATATAGACAGAGTATCAGTCACACCCTACCCGAGTTGAGCATGATGATGGCTGGCCTGCCAGCAGAGGATCGCGCTGCTGAGCCGAAGGCAAAAATCATCTTTGAGTATGACTGTCTGCTTTGCAGCGCAATTGAGGGAACTCCTACATGACACAATTGAACTGAATCAAGATTTAACATTTTGTTTTTGTGCAGATCCACTTTTTTATGAGATGTTTATTAATAAATAATATTTTGAAAGAAAAAAAATTATGGTGTAAAATCAATTTAGTATCGATATCGTGATATTTAATTTAGGTATTGTATCGAAGTCTAAATTTTTCGTATCGGGCAATAAAAACTCGCACTACTTTTTTTGGTAAGCAATAGTACTTTTCCTTGAGTGTGATTTTTCGGTACTCGGTACTTCGGTACTTTCCACCACTGATAGTAAATGAAAAAGGAAATGAGGGCCAGCACGCACTGAAACGAATGAACTATAGTCGCACCACAAAATGACACAGTATAAATACAATCAAACAGTGTAAGTAAGTAAGTAAGTTATATAGAAAGCATATGTTTGTATGCACTGTGCATGTGCTAAATTGGGTTCACAAAAAGGGGGAAGGCAAACTTTGCTATGTTCATTCCAGTCTATTCATTCTCTGTCAAATTCATACCAGCTAGTTTGAGCGAAATCTAAATGTGGCTATTGCGCTCGGGCCGCCTGCAGCACATTTCTTGCACTCCCACACAGCAGTGTGGCATTAGATGTGGCAGTCAGGCAATACTGAGGGTGTGCTGACGGTCGGGGGCGTCAGTGCCATTAAATCGCATGTCTGGTACCTGGAGGCAAGCAGGCGCCCGGCCATGTGGTTTATTCACGTCCACCGCCACGAGCTGCCATCCTCCAGACGCGTCCTCGTGAAACATCTGCCACCAGGAAAGAGAGGGAAAGAAAGGGAATTGTTAATAAGTGTGAATGACTTGTGGTTTGTCAGTTAGGTTAAAAAATAAATTAAATGGCATCAAAATAAAATTCTGCTAGCAAACTTGGAGAAAAAAAAGGAAAAGAGTTTGAATCGAAAAACAACTGTCAATCTGAAAAACAATCAGAAATTATATTACATTCAATGGAATTCTCCGGCAACTTCAGGACCATTTTATAAACACAGTCAAGGTCACAAGAAATTGGCTTCATGATCCAGCGAGCATCTATTCACATTTCAGAATCTAAATGCACCATGACTTCACCATGACAGATACGAGGAGACAGCGGCGGAGACAGCAGGGACTAGAGGAGGGAGGCAATGCTACAGCAGGCACCTTGAATATGGCACATAACAGAGGCTACTCATATCCATATGTACACAGCCCAAAACTATCAGACGCCTCTGTGCTTGAAGCCGTTTTATCGACCGTCGTGAGAAAATATAAATAAAACAGATTGTATAGAAGCATTCCTTCTCAACAATTTTTAAAGGCAAGCCATTTTAATATTTAATCTATAAATACTAGCATGTGTTTTCATGCTGTCAGTACCAATTTTTAAGACAACAGCATCAATCGCGATTAAGCACGGACTTATTCAGTAGCTACTAGTGCTTATCCTTTAGATACTGATACTTCATTAGATTCTAATAACTCATCATCTATTATATATTTATTATACACTAGTTCTTATTGTTATTATTATTATTATACTAGTCATATATTTATTAATACATTACTATTTTACATAATGGTTATACTGTAATAGTACCTATTTTTTAAATACTAGTATTCATTACTTAGACGCTGACACTTTGATACTAGAAATTACTATTAGATACTAGTACCTATTAAACAAATACAAATACTTATTACAGTTTTTCTCAGTCACTTTGGTGCGTTTCTCACAACACCAGTGCATTTCTGCATAACAGTTAATGCATTTCTCAAAACAATTAGTGCAAACTGCAAAACCTAGTTGATAACCTGCAAAAGCGCGTCACATACTCAAAATGGATAGTTCATTCCTCAAAAGCAAGTATTCATGTCAATCAAACTGTCAGTATCATCAAAATGAAAAGTCCTGACACCATTGTTTTAGAACAAGATAGTCAAATGGCTTTGTCATGTTGTTATTTTGATAGTTTACTCTGGACATTTTTTCAATGCAAAAAGTCAGATGTTGGTTACACTTCCTGAAAATGCTCAAGACAGCACTATATACTATTTGCACAGCCATTTGAAAACTACAGTAAAGTTGGACATCCCTGCATTTAGTGAGGTATCTGAGTACAAGACACTGAATATGTATGTTTCACATTTTTACTGCATTTGCTCTTTACAATCCTAATTTATTCACAGCATTGTGCAAAAGAATAAACACACCCTTTTTTACAACAAACATCAACTCCCTTTGGGTTGAACTGTGCACAACTGTAAACAATATTGCAGTACATATTGGACCTGAACCTGCAAATACACAGGTCTGTAAATCATACATCAAATTGTTCAATTTTAAACACATTTTCAGGAAAATAAAGTTAAAAAATTTTTTTTAGAAAGTTTGCTTTACCGATTTTGACATAAAGTTCAACATTTTTGTTTGTAATGACTCAAGTAATGAAATGAGGACTGTTAGTTTTATATGGAACGACTATTCGGCATTTGCAAGTTTAGTTCATTCTGACTGACATGACATAAGCAAATGATAATGTCATAAATAGCAGAGAGTTGAATAAAAGCAATTAATGCATGTCCGAAAGCATTTGCAATTTGTTGAAAGGAATGAGAAAATGTTATTAGGATGTGCACAAATGACTAATTGTTTTGAGAAATGCATGACCTGTTGTGCAAATGTAAATAGTGTTGTGAGAAATGCACCAAAGCGACTGAGAAAAACTATAAGTATTGAGTGTCTTCATTTTACAATTAAGGTTTTTAACTATCCTCTACTGTGGCCAATGTTGTCACTAGTAAGATAATACTTGTTATCATTAATAATTACAAAAGATGTAATTATGATGTAAGATGTAAGAGTGTAATAAAATAATAAGCACTAATACTTAATAAGTTTAAGAATCGAATGTATAAGAACTACTTCTATCTAATAAAAGTAGTACTATCAAATCATCAATCTAAAAACTGAAATATTAAAACCTTGTAAATATCTACTTATAAATAAAAGTAACTATTGGAATACATGTCATATTGCAATGACAGGTCCTCAAAGTCAACAGCTCAAACTTTAAATGCGTAACTAGAATGTTAGAAGTCACTAAAAGAAATACATACTTATGACTATGAAAGTAATCTAATAAATAATGCCAATAATCTAATGAATAAGTATCTATAAAAGAAGTACTATCTAATAATTACAACCAATATGCAAGCAGTAGTAACTTTTTAAGCAGTATCTAATGAATATGCATACTTTCAGAATGTAGCAGTATCTACACTGGCAGAAATAAAGGTACAAAAGGTGTCACTGAGTATGTTTACATGCCCAACAATAATCTGATTTTAATATGATTAAGACTATAGAGTCTACCATGTAAACAGCGATTTTTGATTTATTTAATCCAATTAAAGTCCTAATCTAAACAGAAACAGGTTAAGACATTTGGAGTATGCCGGTTTTAGTCGCATTATAGAAGTGCAGTACAGACATGTAAACACCTTAATCAAACTATTATTGTCACTACTACAACTACAATCTTCCAGCAGTTCATAATCACATCCACTATCTCTTTTGTCACAGGGGGGCATGCATGAAATGTTCCTGAATGAAAGTGAAAGTGACAAACTGCAGTTGAGGTCAAAAATTCTAAATGAGACACACGAAATTACACAAAACTCCGGAGGAAGTGTGGATAGCGCAGTGACGCAACGATGAACTATGTGCTATAACATGCGAAACAGGATCATAAAAGGAACATTCAAAAAGCAACTCATGTAAACACCTTAATCTTATTATTTTCTTTTAGATTAAGGCAATAATTTGATTACTGATGTTCATGTAAACGTGGCCAGTGAGACAGTACCTGTTGACAGTTTTTTTTATTTATTTTTTTAGGTGCTAATATGTATATTTAAAGTACAATATGCCCCTTGGGATATTATTGTATAACTTTAAAGTACAAATATTCATCCTTTAAGAACTAGCATACATACATTTTTTAAGTGTACCACCCCACAGCCGTTTATGACGGGGAAAATAATTAGCACTAGTAATGAATAAATATTAGCAAATAATAAAAAAGACACTAGTACACTGACAAAAAAATGGTTCATTGAATTTACTAAGCGGTTAAAATCCATTTATATGGGCTGAATTTCATTCATTCATTCGTTTATTTTCTTTTCGGCTTAGTCCCTTTCATTAATCTGGGGTCTCCACAGCAGATTGAACCATCAACTTATCAAACATATGTATTTACACAGCAGGTGCCCTTTGAGCTGCAACCCATCTCGGGGAAATTGGGCTGAATTTAAACAAACTAATTAAGTTAAACATTACTAAATTAAATTTGTTTGTATAAATGAGGCCCATAGATATTTTTGCAACCACTTACCTTAAAAAAATTGTAAATCCAATGAACCATTTTTTCAGTGTATCAAAATACTAGTAGCCAGAATATACATAGAAATGTGTTTTATTTGTTAGATGGCTTGCCATGTTCTCTGATGTACAGTAGTATTTAAGTCCATAGCAAAATAGGTGTGAGTTATATGCACATCTCTGTAACATATTAACATGTGTCTGATTTACTGTACAGTATATTGAGGTTCATATTTCTTTTTTTTTTTTTTTTGGTTTTCCACCCCTAAGCACAAAAGCAAAAATCTGCGTATGCCTGCTCTTAATGTGAACTGCTGCTGTTCCACTTATGTCTGTCTTTTATCAGTTCAGAAGAATAGATAACCAATTAAACCCAAGAGAAATGACAGTCATTAAGCTCACAATGCCCCTTCAGCTCTGACAGCTTAAAAAGGTTACCTACATAAATAGATTTTTAAAAAGTTTCCCCTCGTAGTCTCGTAATTATAACTTTGCCATTCATGTGGTAATCTTCTTAAGAGGCCTTATTGAATTATATTATTTTTTTTATAAAGCAGTCACAAAAGGGATGGTGCAAATCTTGCCAAAGAGTATCACTAGGCCCCAGAAGAACCTTATATTTCTTTTAGATTAAAGGCACCATTCCAAGTGGTGTAGTCCAACATTCAGTAAACCAAGGGTTTCTGTCTCCTTAGAGATTTTTCTTAAATTAGGCATTTGGGTGTAATTAAAATTAAGACATAAAACAGGGATGTGTGTTTTTTTTCAAGGTCACATCTGAAGAAGTCTTAATGGGCTTTTCACATGGAATAAGTAGACAGACGAAACAGCAACTGTTTTTTTAAGGTTAAGAGGATAATTTCTAGCATTTCATGACAGGAACAGCAAACTAAAATTCTTTCAGTTATTTGTCATTTTTGAAATATGAGCCCCCTAAGAATAGCCTCACCAAGACCAAGAGCAAAATACTACATTATACTGTTTTTGCTGGAGATTTTACAGATTAGGAATCGATTCCAAGTTTCATAAATGTCCATGAGCTTGGAAAACTGTATGTTGCTGAAGACAATTCAGCTTTGGGTCCTCGGAATGAGATTGACCTTATTACTTTTGGAAGGCTTTACTGTATACTTGAATGAAAATATGTTCCATTTTCGGAAGATGTGGCCATTCTGTTTCACTTTTTTTACCTCTATATGTCTTATGCTTTTGTGAAGTTTAAAATATGCACACCCAGGTCATGTGTCAGCCCCAATATTTAATTATCAATCAATACAGACAATTAAAATGTGCCTGTATACACATACAGTTTATCATCATTCAGTGTCATTTTTTCAGTTGCCAGGAAGCTTTTTTACTTTAAGGAAGGATTAAAGTGATAGTTCACCTCAAAATGAACATTTACTCACTATTTACTCTGCCTTGACTGTTGTCAAACCTTTATGATTTTTTTTCTGCTGAACACAAAAGAAGATATTTTGAGGAATGTTAGAATCCAGGAATGTTAGAATCCAGTAACCACTGACACCCATAGTAGCATGTTTTTAATCCTTTCTGTCAATTATTTCTCATTTGCTGTATTTTTGTGTAATTTGATGATGTTGATATATTACATATATATATATATATATATATATATATATATATATATATATATGTGTGTGTGTGTGTGTGTGTGTGTGTGTGTGTGTGTGTGTGTGTGTGTGTGTGTGTGTGTGTGTGTGTGTGTGTGTTATATGTTTTGGGAATACTGTACAAAATGTCAGCAGCAGATTTTACATACCAGTGGGTGCACACGGCTCCTAAATTGTAAAACAAATCCTAAAAGTAAAACAAATACTGGATTTCTTTATTTCAATAGTCTTTTTAAAAACGTCAACCCATTGTGAAGAAAGTGTCAAAATAAATAAAAATATTGTTAAATCTTTTATTTTATTTTTTTTCATCACATATGGGTAACCATGTGCCATGTGTAAAAAGTGTGTTTCAAATCAGTTTCCAAGATTTTTCAAAATAACATTTTAGGATTTAAAAAACTCAAAATGTTTGAGAACGGTGAGAAAATGACTGCATTGTTTTCTGTTTTGGTCGAATTATTCCTTTAACATGTTACAAGAAATTATAAAATTTGTACTTTCTATACATTAAATCATGATACACATTTATTTTATGATTATTTTCAAATAAAATATATAGTAGCATGTCACTAATATGTTTTTATTAGCACCAAAGCTAATAAATAAAAATAACAATCAATTATTTTAAATACCAAAAAATAAAAAGTTAACTGTACTGTATAATAATTGTATATTTGTCAAATAAACTCAGCTGTATTTTAGTCAAATATTACTAATTAAAATTTGTTTTACCCTATAGAAGTAATAGAAGTTTATCTAATAATATTTTGGAAGAAAACGACAAAATAAAAAAAATTAAAAAAAAGTTTTTTTTTGTTGTGATTGAAAATTTGGTTGTTACATCAAATAATGTTTTTGTCAAATTAACACTGAACAATGAAACTACTGTGTCTTTTATTCAAAGTACATTTGTATATTGGATTGAGTGAAAAATTCAACTTGCCTTAAAGCAAAAAGAACCCCATTTACTTAAGTTTTTTTTTTTTTTATTTAACAAATTTCATTTCATATGACCACACACACCAGAAGATAGTTTACCTCATTATTGAGAATAAAATAACTAGCATTAGCACAGACTAACTTAATATGCATTTATTATAGTTTAGACCAAAGTACAACTTTACTTGGATTTAGATTTTACGTCAAACCATTTAATTAATTCTTCGTCTGTACCAACAATATTTTTCCTCTGAGTCAATGTATTTTTTCCCTTGGGCAAAATAAATATTTTGATTAATATTAAATTACATTTTTAATTTTTAACAGTTTTTAAGTCAAAACTATAATTTGAACATAATTTATAAATGCAACAAATTATATTGTTTTAGGAAGGTCCAAGCAAGATTATACTTTGATGATCTGAGGTAAAAAAAAAAAAGAAAAAAAAAATATATATATACACAGTATATATTATTATTATTATTATTATTATTATTATTATTATTATTATTATTATTTTGTGTGAATGTAGTTTTTTCTTGACCACAATAAATATTTTTGATTCAGATTAAATTAAACAGTGACAGTATTTTTTTGTTGGTTTAAAGTGTATTTGTTTTAGTGTACATATCTGAAAACACATCATCATTATTTAAACATTATAGGATTATTTATTTCTATTATATAGTAAATACTATTATAAATATAACTAATTTCATGTTTTATTTAAAAACAAAATGGTTTTGATTACTGTATACCAGTGTTTAAATAACAAAATCTTTTTTTTTTTTTTTGTTTCTTTCAGTTATGATCTCAATGTTTAATGGATTCAATATTAGTTATTTCTGTTTCCTTCATTTTAAGGTGACAACTACATCAGCCATTTGCTGGAATAAATGTCATGTGCTATAACCATTCTTTTTCCGTAGGGCACTTCTACAACCATAAGACTTGAATAATGGTGGTCAGGTCACTCCTGCAGTGCTGCCAAAAGTGCTGCCAGCTCCACTCATGCCAACCTCTGAGGCTTTGCTCCAAGACTGGCTCTGGCACAGTGACTGGCACAGTCAGGAAGACACTATGCCTGAGTTCACACAATTACACACACAACTTTTCACACCACGCCCCCGCTCCAGATTTTCTGTGCATTTGCACCATTAGCTTGGAGAGTGTGAAATTCTCACCAAACATTAGGTAGGCGACAGTTGTATAAAATCAACAGGACAGGTTTCCCCACAGGACAGCTTTACAGGCGGGAAAGCAAGAGCATTTAGGGTTAATTGATTCTCTCCGTCCTTTCAGTTGATCAGTCACATCAAATATAGGCTGAATGACAGATCCATAAACATATGCACACAGTTTTTTCCCTCTCTTTCAGTCTGCTGCGCTTTCAGCCACGTTCCTCTATGACTCACCCTTGAGTCTGCCAGCCGCCCAATCAGATCCCTCAGTGCCGTTCGGGGCCCCCCACCTGACAAGCAGCCAAATTTATTTAAAAAACAGCTTGCTGTTGGGTCTATCCTGCCTGCTGAAGGCCAGGGAAGCCAGACTCACAGCCTCCAGGGAAATATGGGAAGAAATCCTTCAGATGTCTGTGTTGGTGTTTATCAGTCTATGTTTAATAATCCAAAACGTTTGTATTCAAGCTTTTGATATTTTATTTATTTATCTTTTTTGGTTGGTTAAATTTCATCTGCCTAAATATATTTTAAACAAGAATGATCAAATAGATTAACAAATGTGGAAAATAAGTCGTACTGTAATTTTGATATTTTTGTTTGTGTTTGTATTTACCTGTGTAGTAGCTGTTGACGTGGTGCTGCTCCGGGATCCCCACATCTGCTGGAACTGCACTCTGATCTCAGCAAACGTTTCGATAATCACAGCAATGAACACATTCTGGAAACAATAGTTAAAAAACAAATATTAATAGATGAAGAAATTCCCCACAATTATGATTAAATTGAAATCTTGTGATTGTTTTCTGGCATCTAAGTCTGAACACAGATCAGTGTTGTGCTACAACCCGATCAATATATCAACATCACTTTGTGATATTGAATTCAACATATCATGAAATCACCTCCCCACCTACAGTACAACTCTTAGATTAAATGACGGGGTCAATTTGGGTGAACTATCCCTTTAAAAATGCAAAAATAAGGCCAGTAATCTGATATGTTTTGTGTGCTTATACACTCTGATTATTGTCAAGTTTACTCACTCTCAGGCAATCTAAGATATAGATGATTTTCTTTTCTTTTTCCAGAATGTTCTGAATTCTCTCGGAATTAAAGATAGTAATATTCGCTTTTTTTTCATGTACCAACTGATCATTTTACTCCAGTAGAGTAAAAATTATCATCAGGACCAATAGGTATTCATTTTATTTTGCTTGAATATTTTCTTTTTGCTCTCAAGTGCCATTAAATTTACATGGTTTTCGTTATAACAAAATTAATAACACACTAATATTCTTCTTCAGAAAAAGTCACTTACATCTTCTTGAAGTTGAGTAAATAAGCTATGATTACTTTTTAATTGAGCTATCCAGCTTGTTCTTATGCATATAGACACTTGAAGTATACTACAGCACAATATATGAGACACCTAGAATAACCCTGACTCTTCAATGAAAAAAAGGACCTGTGTTCAGATTATGACTAAGTTTTGTCAAATCGCTGATGTGAGAACAAAAGGATTTTTCCACCTTGACCAGCCAGGCGAGGAAGAAGATGAGCGTGAGGAAGTAGAAATATGAGCGCCAGCGTGGGAAGCTGTCGATGGCTCGATACATGATGAAGACCCAGCCCTCCTGAGACGCAGCCTCATATACAGTGAATATACTGGTGCCTGCAAGAAGAGACGACAAGGGTTACCACGGGGACACCAGAGGACAGAGGAGGGGGAGAAGGCCCATGTTTGAGATGTTCTCGTGCCCCCAGAGTGATCTGATTGGGCACTGAGACACAAAAATTCAGACATAAACATAATCTTGGCATTAGAAAACCTAGTCAGGTGATTTTTATTACCCAGCTGTGAATTTCCCACTCTCCAAATGATGGTTATCATGATTTTTGTAGTGCTCTTTATTCCATGTCATGCCGAAATATAACAGTATCTATATATCAAAGGAACTTGGCTAAATGAAGAACTATACACTCAGTGATGGGCTGCTTTCATGAATATGCTATATTATGTCTTTTTGATCATGCAAGTGTGATTTCTTTATAAAAGATGAGGGGAAAAAAAAACAAGTGTTCGTGGAACTTAAATGAATAGTCTGTTATTATTTACAGCATTAATTCTGTTGTTTAGACACCCACACACAGTTCCAAACCCTGTGTTACACAAAAGGAAAAAATGTCATTGTATTTTTCATGCAATAAAAATGATGAACATCATTATGACACAATTACAGAGGTAAAGAGCATGCTAAATGATTGCTCACTATAGGTATTGAAGATCAACTTTACCTGCAGAAATAATGATTTTTCATCAAAGCTTATTACTTTAAAAATCAATGCTCAAAATAAAATGTGACTGTTTCTAAGATTATTGCATAATTCTGCTGTCATTAAATAAAAAACTTAAATTTATTAAAAATAAAAATATATGATAATGAAATAGAAAAACAGGATAAAAAACTTAAACTTTATTCAACTAATGAAAATTAGAAATAGTTGTCCTGACAACCAACTGAATTAAATTAAGTGTAGGTTGAAGTAATAATAAATAAAAATTAATACTAAAAATATTGAGAAATATCTAACAAAAAAAACACAATTACAAAGCACATAACAAATATACTAAGCCAAAAAAATTAAAAATTATATAAACAGAAAATATAAGTAGTGGCTGGTTAATGAAGTTATGCAGGGTTGATTTAACCTTATGTTTGGAAGTCTTTGGGCTCTATCTTAAAGATCTAGGCGCAGAGTCTACTGCACATGGCGCTAAAGCATTAAGGACGTGTTCGAATCCACTATTGCTATTTTAAGGATGTAAAAATATGGTTTGCGCATTTGCTATTTACATGGCGGACTTTTTAAGTGGAAAAACTGAATGGTTCTCTAGAGTAAAACAGTTAAACAGGCCATCTGCAGTGCGTGGATAAAGATTGAACCTCCTCCATTCGGCCTCTTCACTTTCTCTTTTCTTTACTTTTACTCTTTGTTTTACTTTTGTGGAAAGGAAAGGAAATGTTGTTATACGCACTCCACTAGACATTCATCAGCTTACATATTTAAATTTGTTTAAGCGTAAAGATTTGTTTTAAAACTATTTCTAAATTCAGTTATAATTTCCAAACAAATAAATGAACAATAGTGTGGTCAAAAAACTGAGTTATATCCAAACACGTCACATTCTTATACCCCATTTAATGACGCATTTGTCTCCAAAACCAGACAGGTGGACAAATCCAAAACTTGTTTTTATTAAAACAAATACAAATATGCATATAAAAATAATACTGCTAATAATAATAATAATAACATTATAGAAATGCAAATTTTCATGAATAACCTGAAAAAAGGCATGAAGGCATGAAGGCTGTGGTATTTATAGTAACATTTCATTTTGATGGTCCATTTGAGTATTAGTAGACTGTCTGCCTAATATCTGTTGATACTGCTGCTAAACAGACAATTGACATTTTTATATAGTCACAACTGACTATATTAAAAAAACTTTGCAAGTACATGTCAACTTATACTAACCCTAACCCCGGCCTAACAGTATACGTATAATCTAATGAGAATTTGTTGACATGTAGATGCAATATAACTTAAATTCAACAAGTGGACCATAAAAATAAAGTGTGACTGTTGTTATATTTATGTAGAAAGTAATAATTTTTGTAATATTTTAATAATTTAATTATTTTTTATGTGTAAAAGATATTTGCGAATTGCTGCACATCCTGTGTATAAGAAGCAATGTGTAAGCATTTAAGGCGCACAACTAACGCGCTCTGCACTGAACTCTAGACCTGCTTTCAGCTGGTCAATTGCGCAGTATATTTTAGTAGCTCAAAATACCAGCGTGGCAAAAATGCGTCTTAACACACCTACCGTCCAGACAAAAACACCCATGAGTCCACAAAGCGGCACAAATGGATTTACTCTTTCAACAACGTGGTGCAAAACGGGAAATTTAGAGTTGTGTTGGGCAGAAAATAGCAACAAATCACGACAAACACTTTTTTATTGCGCCGGGTGTATGATAGGGCCCTTTGTGTTTCTCTTCGCAAGACACAAATTTGAATTCAGGCACATCGTTACACAAAAAAAGACTGAATAAGTAGCCCATGTAGCCATGAGTCCAACATATTATATTTTGTAGCTAATGGATCTGCACTTCCATGTTTTGTAAGAAAACCATTACAATAATACTCTAATGACTTCAAGTTCAAAAGTTACACACGTTATAATCAAAAAAATGTCTGTTATAATAAAGGTACCTTAAAATGTTACAGTTTCTCATACAGCTTAGAAATCACACCATAATGGCTTTTTCTTATACACAGCATATGAGGTCCCAAGCCTTCAATGATGTTATCTGTGCACTCACAGTGACCCATAATGCCATGCTGCGATATGGCTGCCAAAAGCCAGCAGGAAGCATGCCACTCAGTTCTGCTTCCTGCCATTTCCCACCAGGTTCAGGGGCAGAATGGGCCAAGGACACTGGCAGAGCCCTGGAAAGGTTAGTTTCACCAACCTTCCACATATCCTTTACGCAGACCCATATTAATAAAAGACATTATTGCATTTGGCTTTGGAACGCAACTGTGTTGAATCGATATGTAATTCACATTATAACATATACTTTAGTATAAACAGCGACAGAGCCTTTCCCTGGATGAATAAGAAGCAAATGCACTTGGCAAAGTAAGAAGCCACATTAAATATCACTTAAGGATAAATCACTGTCCAGAGATGACTAGCAAAAAAGAAAAAGCAACTCTGTTCTGATAGGGTGTGCATCTGCATTAAAGGTGCAGTAGGTGACTGTCTTCAGAAACATTTTTTGTTGTGCTGGTTGAAAGTCCCTTCACATTCCAAAAGTAATCATTAAAGTAAATGATCTAAATGTAATTATATCTGTTTTTATATTCTGGGTGAGGCATAAAAATAAAAATGTTCATACAATTAAATATTGTGGGACCGACAAATAACTCAATTACGGCAGGTATTTCAAACAGTCAACAAATTTAAATATGAATTTCTGCGCAGCCGCTTTAAGCAAACAAATACATCACTTGCGTGCACTCATGAAGCACGGATCTACCGCTGACAGAGAGACGTCATCAGGCAAACTATGCATCAACCTGAACTTTTTTCTGAAAGACCAACGTGGCCATATGCATGAAAAGAAAGATTGTTTCTAAAAGAGCTTCTGCCAAAAATGCAGAATCAAAAATTTTCTAAACCCTAAATCAATTTCGGAATTAATTTTGCATGTTGGAAGGCAATGACATTATGCAGTTCAAAACAACGATCTGAAGGGTGACACCACGGCTGAAGTATTTCTGTTAGACAGGTATGTTTTAAAACAATTTTAGCCACGCAAAGCTTATGTAGATTGTGCTCTTGTTTATGAAAGGGTTTATATGCATGGAAGTGTTGTACAGCCACAGAAAACATTCAACAAAAGATTGGCTATTTTCACGTTCATGGAGTTTAACAGCATCGATAATTTAGTCGGTTAAAAAGACCTGAGCATTCATTTAGTTGTTCAGGTGTAAAAGGAGCTGAAAACAAGCGATGTACAAGGATCAGAGAGCACAATTGAAAATGAAGTCACTCATAATCTTGGTAATGCAAACATAAGTGTAATGTGAAAAAGATGACAGGATATTTCTATTTTTAGAACTCATTTTTATCTGATCTCCTTTTTATTTAGATTAATAAGAAACATAAGTAAATGGTGCTCTTTCACCAAACCAGCTTTACTGAGGTGAAGTTTGATTTATATTCACACATTCGTTCATTTTTTAATAGTGACAGCCTGTGACACAGCTTTAGGGATATAAAATTCCTCCACCCTCTGGCCTGCCAACAACTTGGCTTAATAAAGTGCATGTCTCCATAGAGTTTTCTAACTGATGAATGACATGATGTAGTGTTTTATCTTATCAGTGCACGTTTGTGTGTTCATGACTTAAGGAGGCGTGGCTTTGAACGGCAGGGGAGGGACAATATCTAAGCTCATATGCTAATAGCATTCTGGAAGACCATGTACAGCACCTTTATATATAATAAATTACAAGCAGAGTAAATTCACAAATAAAGGAGTTTAACAGTATACAGGTACAGAAATTGAAAACAAGGAGCTGCAAGTTCTTCATTGTGTAAATTATTAAATGCAATTAATTCCTTTTGGCCAAATACTTTAAACTTGCTTAAAATGTTTAAACAGACCTTAAACGTTCACTTTATTATGGTTAAACTGAGAAATTCTCATGTGTTCTGAGCTGTTGTACCTGTTCAACTATAATCCTGACTCAACTTTGCTCATCCTATTGCATATTCACATAGTAACAGCGATATCGATGCTAAAGGGATATATTGTGCAGCCATATAAACAATCAGTAAGCACTAATATTCCAAAAAATCATGACTGTGTTCATGTTTCTGATCTGGTAGCTTTAAATCAAACTAAACATAAGATATAATATTTAGAACATAAATACATTTAAATAAATAAATTATTTAAGATATATTTCAATCAAAAATACAAAATTACTGAAAGTTTACTCTGCCTTTACTTTTTTCTTGTTGAACACAAAAGAAGATATTTTGAAAACTTTTGGAAATTGGTAGACACTGAAATCCATAGAGGGGAAAATGGAAGTCAATGCCTACTAGCTTCCGACATTCGTCAGAATATCATCTATCATGTTCAACATAAAAAACGTATTCAAAAAGGGTTGGAACAAGTAAATAACCAGTAAATATTGGCAGAATTTTTGGTTTTGGACGAACTATCCCTTTAACCCAGGGATGGGCAAACTCGGTCCTGGAAGGCAGTGACTGAGTTTGAAGACTGAGTTTGCCCACCCCTGCTTTAACCTAAAGATTAAAGGGAAAAAAGGGGTGAACATATTTATTTAAAAAAAAAAAAGAATAGAAAGAAAATAAAAGTTACTGAATAAAATTTTTTTTAAAAAAATCCAATTTTTACGTTTCTGCATCACTGAACTTTTAAATCCAAAAAAATGCATTGTTACTGAGGCTTCAAAGCGCACTGTGAACACGGATGAATGGATGACAGATCACAGATGCATGAGCGGTTCTGGTTGACTTACACATGACTTATCTGTGTACCGAACTTCATAAAGAGGATGAAGAAGGGCCCTTTGCAGATCTCAGTGTTCTGTAAGTCAACGGTTCAAAGCCACGTCTGTTTTTCAGGGAAAAGCCTCCCTTCATGGTTATTTGGAGATTAGTGGCACTGCTCTGTGTACCTTTCTTGTGGATTTATCTCAAATAAAAGCGATAAAAATGTGGCATACTGCTTCATACAGATCAAGGTCTTTAAATAAACCTCTCTATTTGTGAAGCTGCCTTCACAATGCTTTGAAATATGAGCTTTTCTGAAAACATTACATGTAATAAATGCGGCAAAAGAGAGCATTTATCTGTTTGCTTGCATATAGTGCATAGATAAACTAGAAATGCGTCGAACAACATTACAATTAATCACACTTTGTCAAAAAAAGGATAATTGCTCTTAATCACTTTGAGAAATTGCAAAGGGCAGAAATAATAATTATACTTTTCCACAGCCAGCAAAAACTGAATAAATTGGGTTCACATTTCCAGGTAAAAACGGGCCGGCATAAGGATATGCAAGGGGAGTTCTTTGATGAAAAAAAAAAAACAAATAAAAGAGAGATAAGTAGCCGCTGGAAGGACATCCGCTGCATGAAAACGAGCTGGATACGTTGGCGATTCATTCCGCTGTGGCGACCCCAGATTAATAAAGGGACTTAGCCGAAAAGAAAATGAATGAATGATATTTATACACATACATATGTATATACATATATATTTATACAACAGTTTATTTATCAGGATAGTGCCTATTTTAAAATATTTATCATTTCTGAGAGACAGTGCGTCAGCAGCCATTAGCCTGTCATTGTGCAGAATAAAGACAATTGACATTGTTTATCCACAAGATGGCGACAGAGACCGCATAATAAGTCCTTAGAAGATAAAAATAGCATAATTTCTAACTACAGCTGATCAAATCATTATTAAACAAGTAAGTGATATTCTAAGTCTATCTCTCTTTTGTATGTTGTTGTGCTATATTTATACCATATAATTGTGTTTTGAGTGTGAGATGGGACTCGCATCTAAGAAATGTATGTATTTTGTGTTGGCCACTCTTTGTATAACCCTGAGTTATTTTTTGGTTGGCTATCTGTTTGTTTCTAACGAGTCTCCTGTCTTCGTTACTGCAGACTAGTCGAGTAAAAGGAAAGAAAGAAGAAATGCCTGCATGTGTTTAGCATTTTTCCTTATCACAAACACAACAGTAATCTGCTAGTGTTTGCACTGCTTTAGCTTTTTTTTGGAATAATTATTGTGATCTCCTGAATCCAACAGAGAAATACTGAGAAATCTCTTTAGACTGATGGCATTTTAATCTTTAAATGTCAGCAAAATTACCTGTTTTGTCAACACTTCAGATATTACGCTAGAAAATCATTCAAATACTAACTATAAAGTGACGTTGATGAAGTAGCAGCGGTTCCTGCTGATCTGACGTCAGCTGCAGATGTGAATGAATGGCGGAAGAAAGCAGTTCCTCATACAAAAGGAATTTTAGACTCCCTGTGTTTGACTTTCTTTTTTATATATAGTCGAACTGTTGTATAAACCCAATATTACACTCATAGCCGTGCGATATGGCTGTACTATATATTGTAACTGGTGGGACACTAAGCACAACGCACGCCTTCCACCAGTGCCAATTTACAGCCACATTGCACTGCTATGAGGGTGATATTGCTCATATATATATATATATATATATATATATATATATATATATATATATATATATATATATATATGTCATAATTATTAATTATTGTATATGTTTTTACCCGATTTCTGTTTAATAGAAAGAAGATTTTTTTTAACACATTTCTAATCATAGTAGTTTAATAACTCATTTCTAATAACTGATTTCTTTTATCTTTGCCATGATGACAGTACATACCATTTTACTAGATATTTTAAGTCCAATTTAAAGATATTGTTTAAGGGGGCTAATAACTATTTATATATAATTATGACCTTAAAATAAAAAAAATAAATAAATAAAACTGCTTTATTCCAGCCAAAATCAAACAACTACGGCATTCTCCAGAAGAAAAAAAATATTATAGGAAACACTGTGGAAAAATATCTTGCTCTGTTAAATATTATTTGGGAAATATTTGAAAAAGAAAAAAAATCAGAGGCAGTATAATAATTTTGACTTCATTTGTATACAGTATATATCAAAATTTATTATGGATTGTGGGCAGTGACTCACCAAGCTCATTGAATCCACTGTATCCAAGTTCTTGTCTACTGAGTCCATAATCTTCCAGATCCACACACTTAAAGCCCACTGGACACTGATATCCCTCCCCGTTCGGAGAGCAGTGTGTATCCGGGATTGCTAGGCTGTTCCATGTCACTTTCCTGGAAAAAGACCAGAGTACGTTTTCAAAGAATCATCATCAAATGTTATATCTGATCAAATTAACCATTATATTGTAACAGGCCATCTGGTGTTTTCTCACAGACTAACAGTACTATCCCAGCTCTCTTTGGCAACATCCACACAGTTAGCATTTGGGATTGACAACCGTATTTGCTAACAGGTGTGACTCTAATTGCCCTGTACAGGAAACACAAGTTTAATATATGGGGGGAAATATGAAATTTCATAACCTTAGTGTCATTTCTTATAAAGTTGGGCCATCACTAACAAATTGTTAACTATAGCAATAGCACTATGTAAATGAATCTAAATGAATCTTTAAGTATTAAATGCATAACTCTTCATCACAATGGTAACCCAGTGTAACTGAAACAGCTTTAAATACCGCATCGAGTTTAACATCAAAAACAAACAAAAAACAACAGAATTAATGGTAAAAATGAAAAATGTTACATTAATAATGAATAGCTTTCAAATTCTTGACTTGTTTACATTTGCCCTACTTAATTTAATCTAAAGAGAAACAAAGTTTTGTTAAACATACAGTATGCACACGGTCAGAATATGTAAGTATTTTTATTAAATATTTACTAGTATACTTGTAATAAAAAAAACTATCTGAATTATTATATCTTCTCTGATAAAATTATTTTCTTGTTTCAAATATAAAAAACAATACAAAATATTTTGGCTGTGGGTAAGAAATGTAAATTTCAAAATATGTACATATTGCATAAATGTTATACTGTCTTTCCCTCTCGATTTGATTTTAATAAATGTTTATGTTTTAAGAGGCCCTTTTTTCAAAATTTAAGATTAGTTTTTGTGTCTCCAGATCATGTCTGTAAAGTTTCAGCTCAAAACACCCAACAGATTATTTATTATACATTTTAGAATGTTAATATTTTCTGCTTTGACCACATTGTAGCTGTTTTTTTAGCCTGTGCCTTTAATGCTAGTTCTCTCTGCCCACTGTCTCCATGTGCCTGTCAAAGTGTGCCTCAATCTCCGGCAGCATCAGATAAACAGAACAGTGACAGACATGAAGGAAGCAAAATCTCACATAATGTTTGTGTGAAAAACTAAAGTAAGACCTTTCCCAATGATTATATGATGTATTTGTTGTGGAGTTAATTCAAGCCTTTCTTCAATGAGTTACACAAAATGATGATACAACCTTTATGCACACATACAGACACACACCAACATAACTTTGCAGTGTTTTTGCATGGCAAATGTGACAGAATACACAATAATATTCACTGCTGTATGGATATTCGTTGTGTTAATGTACAAAATAAATATGATTAAATATCCACAATCCAGCATTGAAGCATCTTCTTTTAAAATTATACAGCATGCGGCTGTGGTGATAAAGACGATAGAATCGCTGTAAATCATTACAAACCTGCACTGTTTAAAAAACATTTTAAACTTGTAAAACTCATTTTTAGTTACATTTGATGATGATTGATGATCATAGCGAGCTCAACAGATATTTTAATACCAGCTGCTTTGTGCACATCCTGTCTTGTTGATATGATTATACGCAGGGCCGCCCGTGGCAAAGGCAGTATAGGCAAATGCTAAGGGCGCTGTACATCCAGGGGGCGCCAGAAATGAGCGGGGGTAAGTTGGTTTTGTTTCCAATATTCCTAACACACATTCAGTGATAGATGGCAATAACTCAAAAACCTCTTACCCTAAAAAGATCTAAAGTGTGTTTCCTACAAAAAGACAAAGCTGGTTATGTTTCACAGTCTTTTTCTTTTTTTTCGCTCGATATTACGAGCACTGCTCTGTTTAGCCTGGGATATGCGTTTAGCCAAGAGAGCTGAGCTTGCGCGGAGTGGAGCTCTCCGTAAGGGACCGTCGGATAAGTGCTTCTTTTTTTCGTTTTTTTTTTTTTATTTTTTGCTTTATCTTGCTTGTTTTATTTTACACTCAACTAATTTTCTCTTAAATGAGCACAACAGTTACTAAAGTAGTCAAATGCTTCATTCATTCATTCATTATAGATCGGTGCATTCTTACATTAACACCTCTGTTATCAAACAAAACACAATGAGAGATTCATTTGCTGCTTTCACTAAATAACTATAGTAACTTTAATCAATATGTCAATAAAATATCAATAAAAGTTAAATAGATTTTATAGCTTTATTTAATTTCTGTATAAGCCATTGATTTTAATAGGTTAAAAATTTTATTTTATTGTCAATATTTTCTATTGTTTGCTATGTATTCTATCATTTGAAGCTATTTGTTGTCCCATATTTTAACATCCCAACGTTGATACTGTAGATATGACATAACATTGCTAATCATTAAATAGCTATAGTGCTATCTGTTAGTTTTACGTCAGCTAATGTTATGGAAGGGCATAGATGTTTTGGAAAATAGTAATATTAATGTAACTACCTCATCATTCCTCCCCAAGCAAATGTGTAAATATTAGATCTATTCAGCAATAATGTTAATTGCATTGGCATATTTATCTGACATTTTCCCAACTTGTAGTAGTCGATCAAAAAGCTGTTTAGTTTCTTATGACTTTACACTAGCAGTGGAATTTACTGCGATGTGACGGGGCGCCACCTGAAATCTTGCCTAGGCGCCAAATTGGTTAGGGCCGGGCCTGATTATACGCATTACTATAGAGACATGTTAATATGCGGCTGAAATCACGTTGGGGTGGGCCTCAAAATGGGAGGGAATTGGATGTCAGGAAGTTAAAAAAAGTGACTTATTGTCTTTATATAAGCCAGTTTGACTGTGGACACACTATACCTACACACAGTTCTGTTCAAACAGTTTCCAAAAAATTATTTTTATTATAGGTAATAGCCTTTAAGGGCTATTAAATACACTGCAAAACAAATGGAAAAAAGATTTTTAAATCTTTTCTCTTTGTAATGTTTGTTACCATAGCAACAGTTAAAGTGATAGTTCGCCCAAAAATTCAAATGTTCTCATCATTCTCTCAGACATTCAATATACATGTATAAACAAAATGGCACCTTAAATAGCACTGACAGCCATATTTTTATGCTTGCATTATTATAATCTTAATGTCCCTGAAAGACCAAATCATATCTATTCGAGCACCCCAGGCAGCTTTAGCTTGGGCCACAGGTGTTACTTCAGGAGGCTCTTGATGTCCCTAATGAAAATTAATGCTTTCAAATTGGCTCGCCAGACATACTTTCAAATTGTTTATTAAGGACTCCGAAATGAGTAGGGATCATTGATTGCAGTATCACAAAGGCCAATCAGAGGCACAGCGGTGGATCAAAATAGCTTTAATTATACAGTGATAAATAATCCGCCAAGGAGATCATGCCTGTGAAGAAACTGATAACACAAGCCTAAAGATACTAATAACATCATCTAATATCCATTTTATTTGAAAATGGACATGCCTTTTGATAAATACCATAAACATTTGTGTTATTAGTAAATATTGTTCACTTAAATGGTAATAAAATGACAGAAACTGAGCCTGATATATTGATAACCTGTCTTAACATGCTGTTGTTTATGTCTGTAATTGCTAGAAAAAATGTGGGGCATTTTCTAAACAAGGTCACAGTTTGTGATTGGCAAGGTCACGAGGCCTGTTCTCATCCATATTTAAGCACCTGAAAAATAAATCGTCGTGACATCAAATCTAAAAATGAATTCCCAATAGGCACAAGTCTGGTAAACTCCCTCGCAATCCCTGCGTGATTCAAACAGCAACACTTTGCCAAGGACACGTACTGTAGTTTTGTAAGATAATCAACACTGACTTTTTCTGAAATGCACTTCCACTTGCATGGTGCAAATCCTGACATATTTATATGGCAGAGAATGCTTGTTTCATATCGTCAACCCCTTTTTGAATGATAATATATTGGATGTCAGTGTAGGGTTGAGGTACTGTATATCAAAATATAAAATCTTGGAATCACTTTATTTTAATCAACAATTCTCGCTATCAACAAACCAATAACTAAGACTATTAGCTCAATAAACTACTAATTTGCTTCTTATTAATAGTTAGTAGTAGTTGGGTTTAGGTTTTGGATAGGATTACAAGCTTATACTTTATAAGTACTAAAAACTGTTAAAATCCTAAAATCTGCGTGAACCGAACAATGCTGAGGCTTTCATTTCAATATGTTGATGTACTTCCAACTGAAACCAAATATTAAGTAGTGGGTTAGGTTTTCTTTTTGCACATTATTCCATTATAGCAAGCTTAAGGAAATAAGGGGCAACCCTCAAGTTGATGTCAACAGAGAAGAAAGACCACAAAAAAACAACTTTTATTTCTGTGGATTAACGATTAAAAAGGGTAAATTCTGATTTAATTTGGACTAATTTGGATTAATAATCAAATCAAGTTGAGTTTTATTGTAATTCCGCTACATGTGTGGACATAGTGGAATGAAAATGTCATGTCTTGCAGAACCATGATACTACATAAATAAACATAATCATAAACACTACACTGGATGTAAGAGCTATCTTATAAGAGTTATCTATACATAACTAACATACCGAAGAGATAATCAAACTAAACTACTAGGTGCAATAGGTGATCTGCCTATATTTTTGAAACACAGTTCCTCCACTGCCATCCAAAACCTCCTGAAATCTCAAACGCGTACATCAAAGATGACGGAAACCCACTAGATCATGTCATTCCCTAGTTAGAAAACTTTTAAGTACTTTGTAATACTACAGTTCTGAAAAAAAATGTATTATATCTAGCACGTTTTCAGTTGTGTAGATAGATTTTTTTTTGCAATCAAAGACCGCTGGTCTCACTCTCCCATGTGCTTTGTCCTAAAGTGACTACTTAGTGCTTAGTGGTTGGCCAGCGGGCAGGCCATACTTGCATGCCATTTTAGACTAAATATTCAAAGTAGCGTGGTAAACAACGTAGGGAGCGCGTTACAGATTGTCATTATTCAAAAATGAACCAATGTGA